TAATTCAAAATTTAAATTATCATAACTATCATAAACCCATATAATTTCATGCGAAGTTGAAGGTCAAATGTAACAGAGCTGTATTAAGGATTATTCAATAATTTTGAAAAATAGTTATTTATTGAAAGTAAAACATAATATTTTTGGAAATAAGATTCTTCTATTAAAAACAAAAATAATGAAAAGCTGAAAGCTAATACCGGGGCCTGATGACATAAGAATTACCTGTAAGTACATTTGAAATTATAAGCAACATATCAATATTTTGTAAATTATACAAAGGCTTTCGAATCAGTCAAATGGGATCACCTTTGGAGTATGTTGGACAATATAGGAGTCTAAAATACACAGAATATATTAAGATGAGTTCAAAACCAAGAAAATAGTTAGACAGGGCTGCATACTGTCACAATTATACAACATATAGTTTGAATATATAATAACGAAAGTGTTATAATAAGAAAAGTACATGGCGAATGGAATGCACAAATCACTATAAATGGAGGCAGAAAAATCAGTAACTTGCGATGCGCAGATGACACACTTATACTAGCAGCGAATGAAGTCGAAATGATTACCATCACCGAATGTCTAAGCCGGCGATGCAAATAATAGATTACCGCATATACATTAAGTGCCATTAATACGCCACGTTAAGTGGCGAATTTCGAATTCATAGACAGATTTGTGTACGTGGGCTCCCTGATAACCAACAATGGAGATTGCTCCTCAGAAGTTAAGCGTAGACTAGTAATGGCCCGCACCGCAACAGCTAAATTAATTAAAATAATGAAAAACCGAACAATAACAAGGAATAATAAGCTCAAGTTAGCCAATGCCATTACTTTTCCCATTGCTACATATGCAGCAGAATTATGGACTCTCCAAAAAATCGTGAGGAGTAAAATTAGCTTTCGAAATGTGGGTCTATAGAAGATTTCTACGCTTGTCCTATACAAAACATAGAACCAACCTGTTAATTATGGAAGAATAGTAGAAGGAAAGGTCAAAGACCATTAAGAAGATGGACAGTGCCAAATGAAGCCTAAATCTATACAATTTTGCGAAAAGTTTGGCAGCTAGGGTCTACCTTTGAAATGAATAAACTTATAGTTAGAAATTGTGAAATATGAAATGACATTGTGTTGTACATACATGTTTAGAGGATACGTTAAGTTTTTATGGCGTCAGTTTTTCCTGTATGTTTGCTGACATTTGACTATCAGACTAGAATCAAGATGACAAAAACAAGATTCTTCTAGCAATCCCTTGGAAGAAACAAAATTAGTCCTTCCCGCAAGTCATTAAACGAGGGAATTAATCGTACTATGAGAGCCCGTGATTCATAAGAAGACTTAGCTCTTATTGGTATAACTTGGAGGCGAAGACAGGAAACGAAAATTACAAAGAAATACGTTCTGATATTCCAGAAGCTCGTTTAGAGTTATTTTGACCAAAAAGAATTATTTGAAATGTTATTTAAGTTTATGCCTTGTGTAAAACTTACTGAGGTCGCTGGCTAAGTGATTAGAATAATAACGAAACAGTGTAATATTTTGATTGTGAATAAATTAGTAATTAATCGGAAAATTACGAAAATACTTAGCCTAACTCATTAATAATATCTGTACAAAGAAAAAACACTTACCACCAACTTAAATGCAGCTAGCGGAGTAAAATAGTGGCTGAGGCATTTGGTGAGAAGAAGGACTGTGTAATAATTATATTTTTCTATATATTCTAAAGACTTTTTTTTTTGAGAGAATAAGATTTTTTTTGAAAATTTTTGAATGTACAATTTTGCCACAATAGGAAAAAGTTTTATGTTAGGGTTTGAAAATATTACAGAGACATCATGTAGAAATCTACAATTAAGTTGAAAATTTTACGATAGCAGCATGCATCTACGCAGTAGAGCCATCTCTAGGATCCGAAACCAATTAATTGTGGGTGAAGATCAACCTTAAATGTGGCTGGTTCCCGCCCATATGTTCTGTGAATAATATACCCATACGAGAGGGAAGAAGTCTGATTAGTTGTTATTATTATATATAATTTAACTACTCGTCATATTTGGGCATTTTGATTTTGAGTGGATTTTTAGCCGTTAATTTCCGAAGATTATGCTTCCTTGCCATTTTTGTTAATTCTTAAAGATTCACGGCAGATTTTATCGGTACATGCATGTCGAGACCAGTTCAAAATATAGTTACAGCTTCCGTATTATTTGTTTCCAAATAATCTTTCTATAACAAACTTCCTCTTTTAACCTGGCTGTTCTCGGTACTGTTTAGTTGACAATATTCACAAAATATTTAGTAGATCAAGGCTGACGGTTATCTCTGACCGGAATTTCAACGGATGTGTGATAATGAACGCGCAACGGCGAAGTCTCGGGTCCATTTAGATTTTTGAGTGTAACTATTGTTGGCCAAAATTAACGATTTCGTAATAATGTAGGCAATATTTGATTTCGGTGTGTTTCGTTTCTTTTAAAATCCAATAAATTTGGAATTGTGTAGTATAATAATTAAATTGGTATTAATATTTTCGAAAACAGAAGGCAATTAAAAAATTTAGTTTGTTTCCTACAAACATCGACAATATAGGTTCACGTTTCCAAATCATTGTCAAATATACTGCAACCTTGCAACATCGCATGGTTAAAGAAAAATGGAAATCTGGTGAAAATTTCCGTGACATGATTTTATAAGAGGTAATTGATTGGATTATATTAAAATAAATGCTCAACATGTTCTCCACCTTGTTGTTGGCAATACCACAGTCTCCTATAAAACTCGTTCCGAACTTTGTTTAAAGTTTGAGGTGAAATATTCCGTATTTCTGTAGTTATCCTTTCTTTTTGAGGTTTTTAATGATAGTTGATTGTGTTGCATATACTTTATTCTTGAGATAACACCACAAAAAATCCAAAGGCGTAAGATCTGGTGACCTAGCTGGCCACTCAATAATCCCCTTTATCAAATCCACTTATTGAAGAAGATTTCATTCAAGTAATTTCTGACCATTAAAGCATAATGGGGTGTTGCACCGTCCTGCTGGAACCAGACAGTTTCATGCGGTAGGGTCGGATCTATTGGATTGTAATATAAGTTAGCCAACTAAGAAAGAACATCGTCTTTTGGCATGCTTAAATATTTTTCCTGTGTCAAATTATCATCTATAAATATACGACCAATAATATGATCTCCTATAATACCTGCCCAAACATTCAACTTCTGAGGATACTGAGTGTGTGTCTCACGCATCCAATGAGGATTCTCCGCTGACCAATATGTACAGTTTTGTCAGTTCACCTCTCCGTTCAATGTAAATGTTGATTCATCAGAAAAAAAATTGTGCCAAGAGCTATTTCATTTGTTAATTTTATCCATCATTCTTTTGCAGAAATCGATTCTACGATCCGGATCGTCTTCTGTTAGCTCTTGCACAAATGTCAATTTATATTAATGAAGTTTTCTTCATGGAGACACCTTAGGACAGTTGTGTGACTCACATTATTTTGACGTGCAATTTGACGTGAACTTGACGTTGGATTCTCTGCGACACTTAACAAAATATCCACTTTCACTTCATCTTCAATGAAGTTCGATTTTCTTTTTAATGGTTTGATATGTCCAAGTTCTCTGAATTGTGCGTAAATTTTAGACACAGTATCTTGTGAAATATTAGGTAACTGAGGATATCTCTGATTAAATACGTTTGCTACTTCAACTTCTATCTTCTACAATTCTCCCCGTAACCGATCATCATTAAAATCTCAATTCGGTGGGCCTTAGTTAAATATTTAATTTTTATTTCTGCAAGAAATTAGTTTTTTAATTAAGAATTTATTATTTTAATGTAAAATGTCATCAACATGTCAACTGATTGATAACAATCCGCATTATTTACCGATTTAGTTTAATTGGCAGACTATCTATACAGTTTTTACCTATTTACGACAAAAAATGTTAACACAGTTACTAAACAGAAATTTTCCCTAATATACAGTGTACTGACACTTACGAGTAGAAGTCTATTGTCGGTATTTAGTTAATTTATAACACGTGATAAATTATTAATTTCAAAATTTCACCTTGTATTATTCATTATAGACGCTACATGATAGTTCATTGAAATTAGGTTGTTAAAAGTATTTTAAAAACATAAAAATATACAGGGTGTTTCATTAAAAATAAGGATTATGGACTATGCCGGACTTGCGTGGATCACCCTGTACATTTAAACTTATGTTTAAAAAGCGCACATTTAAATTTAAAAGTTAACGTGTTCCAGAGTTTTTGATTATTTTCTATAATAAGGACACAAACAATTTTATTCCATAAGTGGTTTCCACACTGTATATGAAATCCTATTAAATTTGAACATTTATATTCTGGGAAAATAATATTCATAAAAACTAATGCTGCAGTAATTCTACTGTACACATCAACAGACTTAACACCTAGGAAATTAGAATCATAAAGGATTATGATAGAATTCTGAAAACACGTATATGAACCTGTTTTAATCTACTTTTTTAATTTTAAAACTTTAAATGCTTTTAATGCAAATACAGAAAAAACTGATAAACATTACCTAAAAATTACGAGAGCTAGAACAAAACTACAAATATATTATTAAAATTATGTATCACTAGTTCGAATGTATTTTACGTCACGGTTAGTAGGGTATATATTATTAAAAATGATTAGGTATTTTCAATGTGTTTTTTATAATGTTTTAGCAAAATCTTTCTTTCGTTTCATCAGAACTATTTATCTATGGATTAAATTCGATGTCATTCAAATCTTTAAAATAATGTTTACCTTTCAAACCTGGAAAATCAAATTTTTTATATCACTCACTACTATTTATGTATTTCGTGTTTAATTAATACGTAAAAAAAACCTAATAGCATACAATATCGAATCAAACTTTTTATTATACTCTTCGTTTGGTTTTTCTTTTCGGTTACTATTTTCTCACTTAAAGAGAATATGGAATTCCCTTATTAAAATCTGTTGTCCAAGGATTGTGTCATAACTTAGTAAACATTTTTTTCTTTGTAAAAATATTGTTCGCATATGTTTAATGTATTCTTTACCTTGTTTCAGTGCGGAATCGAAGATGATTCAGACGATGACGAATTGGGCGCCATGAAAGACCTTACCATCAACGATTACATCAATACTAGCGTCAACACCAAACAGCAAAACGATTTGGAATCTCAACAGCGACTGGCCGTGCTCAGTTTCGAACAAGTCAACAGGCTCAATGAAGTCATGGACGAGGTGGTTTTCATCCATGGCAGAGGTAAGAATCATCAGTATCTCTTGATATAAGTTATACCATATCGTAAGATTTTTCTTAATAAATCATTATCGAAATATAAAAATTAAGTATTATATGACTATTTGATCAGTAGTGGAGGCTACAAGAAATTGCTATAGCAAACGTGATTTTTGCCCCAAGTTACCGGACTGGGGACACTGCTAGTAGGTATTTAGAGACACTTGTACCCGCATTATTTCAACTAATGCTACTAAAATGCGTCGTTTCAAAAATTTCACGAAGACACTTTATCATAATTGGCTTTAGCTGTAAGTATGATTGCAATCGAAACGTCTAAATGGAAATAGTGTGTGTAAAATTGATGATAGTTGGCAATACTTATAACTCTATAATCACTTATAATCACTATATTCTTCTTTTTCTTTGTTTGGTTTCACAATCGGGGTCGGTCTTAGCCACATCCACTGTCGCCCTCCATCTTCTACAACCTTGTGTTTCCATTTCCCATCATTGTACCCCAATCCTCGACAAATCTGCTTTGACGTCATCCTTTCATATTTTCTTGGGATCCTATTGATATTCTACGATGGAGTCTCTCAAAAAATACTGTTTTCCTCTGATCTTACAGCATGACTTGCCATCTTATCTGGTTAACTTTTAATTCAGCATAGCATTTTCTACAATTTCCCGTTATTTCGTCTCTTTGAGTGCCAAATATTGGCAACCAACCAACCTGTTTTTAAATACCAGCAGTTTATTTATTTTTCACTGATTGAAGGTTTAGGTTTTACTGTCATAAGTAACAAATGGAGGAATAATTGACAGTGTTAGTGTAGATTGTCTTTGTAATAACGTAGACAACAATAATGTTGAAACGGAATATAATGCTCTAGTCCCAACAGTTATTTTAGCTGAGATCTCTTTTTCTACCTGTTGTCATAAAGACCTATGCATGAGTTAAAAGAAATGACCAAAAGCAGAGATCTTTGAAGACAGACAATACAGGACATCACGATAACCACTACACTCCCTCAGGGGGGTCAGAACTGAAAAGAGAGATCATGTGTGATTACGACTCTCACATACTTAAACTCCCTTACTACTTCGAAGTTGTGATCATTACCAGTTATGTTCTGTCTAATTCTAACCCTTCTATTTTTGGTTACTACCCTTTATTTCGTCTTTTCTTCATTTATTCGGAGACCAGGTTACCTGCTTCCTGGTCGAGTTGTGAAAACAGCTCCCGCATGTCTCTTGTAAAATGAAACACTGTATCTATGTATATTATCAGCAACGGCCAACAACACTTTTGAATCTTGAATGGCTCTCTATCAGCTCAGGGGATTACTTGCATGTTTCAAGGCAAAACTGAACAGCATCGGTGATAAGAGGTTTCTTTGTCTGAGTCTTGATGTTATACTTGAGCATATGAGAGTATCAAACACATTTCTGTTCGCTCCACTAATTTTCTTGGTATTTCCTTTTCTAGAATTGCCAACCATAGCTTGCTTCTTTTTCCAATCACCCTATTGGTAGAAATATATTGGGTAAACATTTTCTCAACAAACAACCTACAAAGCACTACATCAGCAACCTACAAACCTCTTGCTGTTGTTTTACATATACACTGAGACAAAATTGACAAGATTTGATATGAATATTTCTTTTTTTTTTCTTGAATCAATGTGGACAAAATCCTAAATACATTTTTTAAGCATTACGTCTGACAGTTCAACTTCCTGTTGCACTTCATGAGATACGTGAAGCTTTCAAATTGTTGATATGTAGCATGTTTTTTTTTCTTCTTTGGAAACCATGAGCTCGTTGTCCATATTCGGTAAGATGTTATACGTATTAAGCCAATTAAACGAAATGTATATATTTACACCATCAAGAAGAGAAAATTAAAGTATGTACGGGAATGTTAGCAGAAAAGAAACCTATTTCAACTAAATCGATGACAAACTAGGGTGGCACGAAATAAAATAATGCCTTAAGAATTTATTCTGATGGTATGAAGTATGTGGTTACCATTTCGAGCAAATTTAAATAAAGCATTAAGTCGTAAAATTAGTTTTCACAGTTATAGAAGGAGATGTCACTTGAAGATTAGTATAACACTACCTTTGCTGTAGAAGTAATGGATTTTGACAAGAGCTATGACCTTGAAAATAACAGGTAAACTTGTGTACTGAATCGGCATGACTAGTGGCTTTTGTAAAAATCCATTACCTCAACCATTTATTGTTTCTTTTTTAACTAAAAAAAATCTGAGCAAAATTTTCACAATGTCAATATTTTCAGGAAACTTCCCTACTTTGGAGATCCGTCTCAAAGACCTCGTGAACGTCGTGAGGGAGAAACTAGAGGCTGATACCTCTGCTGGGGGAGCGGGTATGAAGGTAAAGGACATCCGATTAAATGGTGGCGCCGCTTCCCACGTTCTGGCCACCGAAAGCCAACCCTACAACGATCTGGATCTTATCTTCGGAGTGGAGTTGTCCAGTATGCGGAATTTCGACAGAGTCAAAAGTGCAGTTCTCAGCTCTTTATACGAGGTAAGTTAATAGAAAATCGATAATACTGTAAGTTTTAATCACTTAACTCAAGTCACTTAAGAGTATGAAAGGTCAAGAGTAGAAAGACTTGATCATGATTAAAAATCATTACTGTAATTTTGTTAATCTTGTTTTCTTCGTTCCAGATGCTACCAGAGGGTGTAAATCGAAAACGAATCTCCACCTGCAGTCTGAAAGAAGCATACGTAAGCAAAATGGTGAAAGTGAACCAGAACATTGGCGGTGACAGGTGGTCGTTAATATCCTTGGGGAATTCCCGCGGTCGCGGTGTCGAACTCAAGTTTGTCGATTGCATGCGTCGCCAGTTCGAGTTTTCGGTCGATTCTTTCCAGATTATCTTAGATTCGCTGCTACTCTTCTATAAATGCAGTGAATTGCCAATTAGTGAGAACTTTTATCCGACCGTAGTCGGAGAATCTGTTTATGGAGACTTCCAAGAAGCCTTGTACCACCTTCAGAAGAAACTTATCTCAACGAGGCATCCTGAAGAAATTCGAGGAGGTGGTCTATTGAAGTATTGTAACCTTTTAGTCAAAAACTACAAACCTGCTAGGCCAGACTACATCAAGAGTTTGCAGAGGTGAGTAAACCAGATCTTTTTTATAATAATTTATCCAATTATATTATTAGATGAAGACCAAACCAAAAATTTGAACTAATCAATGAGGAACTGAATAGTAGCAGTTTTTGTCGGGAGTTTTTATAGCTTTACATCATTGTAATTTTCTACTTTAGGCGGTTATCATCCTTTACTTTAATTGTTGATTAAGAATTATCATTACTTCACCATGTCTGTTTGTATAGACTTCTTATCGACCTCATTTATATCTTACCTTAACGGTACATATTTTGCTATTTCCAGCCCTTCTCTGATTATGGAGTTTTGGATTGTTTGAATCTTCTTCCTGTTTGTTTTGCAATTCTCTCCCCATGCTGTAGAGGCATCCTTTAATGTTAGAAGTATAATGGCAACTCTGATCTTTGTTTTGAACCTCGGCTTACTTTTCCGGTATATAAGAGAGTTGACTCTTGAATACCTTGGCTTGCGTTTGCTTTACTGATGTTCTGTAAACGTCAGCTTTTTGTCAAGCAATGTCTAGGTATTTAGCTTGACTAGTCCATTCTATCATTCTATATTCTATTATTAGGAATCAAATCGACTTCATTCTAATAAAAAAATCGATTTAGAAACTGCATCAAATCAGTTAAAACTTATCCAGGTGCTGACATTGGGTCCGATCACAATCCCATAGTAGCTGTAACCCAATTAAAATTAAAAAAGGTGATCAAAAAGAAGTCTCGCAAAAAGATTGATACAGCCCAACTACAAGACGAGAAAGTTAAGGAATCAGTTGAAAGACAACTGAACGAAATTTAATTTGGAAAATATTGGTGAAAACGTCGATGAGGGCTTAAATAAAATCGTAACGACAGTAAAAGAAATCTGTGTGAGAAATTTACAAGGCAGGTCAAAACCAAAAAAGCAGGCTTGGATGACAGATGATATACTGGATTTAATGGAACAACGGCGACTAGCAAAAACCAACGAAACACTTTACAATAGCATACAAAAAGAAATTCGACGCAAAATACGAGAAGCAAAGAGTCAACATCTAGCTAAACAGTGTCATGACATTGAAGAACTCGAAAAAAGATACGACACGTTTAACATGTATAAAAAGTAAAAGAAGCGGCTGGTATCTTCAATAAGAAACAAAATGCATTGCTACAGGATGAAAATGGTAAAGTAATATTCGAAGTAGAGGACAAACTTAAAGAATGGGAAAATTACGTCACGAACCTATTCGAAGACGATAGGAGTAGTTCACCTCCCGATATTACTAACTGCGACGGACCCCTAATAACACGCTGTGAGGTTATAAAGGCCATACAATCATCAAAAGATGGCAGAGCGACTGGTCCTGATGAAATTCCAACTGAAATATATAAGCTTATAAAGGATAGCAATGTTTTAGAGGCTATAACTTCGTTTTTCAATACCATTTATACCAGCGGACAACTACCTAATGGTTGGTCTAACTCACTGTTTATAGCTCTACCTAAGAAGACAACAGCAAAAACCTGTGCTGATTATAGAACCATCAGTTTGTTTAAACCACTTATTGAAAATTTTTCTGAAGGTAATACATGGTCGTGTCTACAATAAATGTGAGGAATACCTGGATGACACTCAGTTTGGTTTCCGTAACGGATTTGGAACGAGAGAGGCACTGTTTGGAATGAACGTACTTGCTCAAAGATGTCGTGATATATCTGTAGACATATACTGTTGTTTTATTGACTTTCAAAAGGCATTTGATCGTGTTAAGCACTCTATATTGATCGAAGCTCTAAAAGACATTGGCTTGGACGGCAGAGATGTTCGAATAATTGCAAATTTATATTGGAATCAAACAACATCAGTTTTAGTAGATGGTGTGGAATCACAAGCTCTCAATATTAAAAGAGGAGTACGGCAGGGATGCCTCTTGTCACCCCTGCTTTTTAACGTTTACTCCGAAAGAATTTTCAGAAAAGCACTTTCTGAAAAACAAGAAGGAATACTTGTGAACGGCGAAGTCATCAATAATTTGCGATATGCGGACGATACAGTACTCCTAGCTTCTAGTCAAGAAGATCTGCAAACACTACTTGATAGTGTCGTTGAGAGTTGTAGGGAGGCAGGTCTGGATCTTAACATAAGGAAAACCAAAATACTTGTAATAAGTAAACAACAGAATATAAAACCGTCTATATATGTAAATAATACCAAACTTGAGCAAGTTGATAAAATCGTCTACCTTGGACAGCAATTAAATTGTAATGCAGAAAATCACGACGAAATTAGATCCAGAATAGAGCAGGCTAGAGCTGCTTTTAGAAGGATGTCCAAGGTGTTATATAACAGAGACCTAAAATTGGCATTAAGGATCCGCCTACTTCGCTGCTACGTGTTCTCGGTCTTACTTTATGCTGTCGAGTCCTGGACTGTGAATAAAATCGATCTAAATCGCCTTGAGGCTTTCGAAATGTGGTGCTATAGAAGAATTTTAAAAGTTTCCTGGGTGGAGAAGATTCGTAACTCCACAATACTTGAACGTCTCAGCAAGACCACTGAGATCATAAAAAGCATCAAGCAGAGAAAGCTGGAATATTTCGGACATGTAATGAGAGGTCCCAAATATAGATTGCTACAAAATATCATGCAAGGAAAAATAGCAGGCAAACGCAGTCCAGGACGAAGAAGAACCTCATGGTTGAAGAACTTGCGAGATTGGTATGGTGTAGATACAAGCATGCTATTTAGGGTGGCAGTGAATAAAATTAAAATAGCTATGATGGTAACTAACGTTCTGAAAGGACATGGTACATGAAGAAGAAGAAGAAGAAGTCCATTCTATTGGAGTGTTGAGTATGTTAGATCTCTATTTGGTCTGCCTTTTCTGTGCTGATACATGACGGCCTGTGTTTTTCTGGGTTTATAGGCGCTCTGAACGTTAATCAGATCTTTATCTCTAGTTTTATTGTCTTTTCTTATTATTATAAAGTTTATTATTTCGTGCAGAATTCCCTGGTCCTAGAGAGATACTTTATTGGTTACATTATCTAAGTTGTCATGATTTTTATTCATTTCTTTAAAAGAAATCGAGTCTGTAGCTTGAAAACTCTAGTAATATCTTGTATTCTACTTGGTTTTGCTTGAGAGTCCTCTATTCCTAATTCTTCTGGTTGTACATTTCGCAAATTTTGTTTTTCTCAGCCACAGGTTCCATATTTTTTTTGTACGTAATCTATGTTCAGCTTCAGTTCTATCGGATGCAACTGATTGATAGGTTTGTGTTAAGGAATTTTGCTTGTCTCAATATTGCCCTTTCTATTAACAGAGTTGTTAAACTATTCCCCTTTCTATTAACAGAGTTTTTAAACCACCCCTTTCCCCTTATTGATTCTTATTGCCCTAGAGAACTTACAACTTCATAATACCTGCTATAATGGCAGTCCAGATTATTTCTACTGGTCATACCATATATTTGATAAAACTATCATAAATGTAGGTTTTCTTTCAAAGGAAGTTCTATTTGCTTTCCTTTCCTCATTCCTCAAATATTTTAATTTAAATATGATGGCATTCTATATGTAACCTATTAAAAAGTTTATATTCGAAATATTTAAGAAAAACATAAATAAAAACTAAAGGATTTTAAATAATTATGGACGAAAAAAGTTAAGTTCGTGTAACCTTCTGGCTAAGGTCTATTATGGACGAAAGGAAGAAGCTGACCAAAGTGATCAGGAGCATAAATAATGTATCAGAATCTCATGAAATTTTGTTTGTTCAACTTTGTTCAACTATCCAGGCGAGCGAAAATTGTTTATTGGTTAGTAATATCGGCAGAACGAGAAAAGTGGCTTTACTTAATTGCCAATATCTTTGCAAAAACATGAACTGTAGTTTAGGAAATAAAAAATTTAAAATGCTTTACTAACAAAAAATGAATGAGCGGCACAACATATTATTTGGTCGCAGCATATAATTTTCCCTTTTATTTATTATTGATAAATTCAAGGCTAGGAAATTATTGGGTTTCATGTTTCGTTATGAATAAATACCTTTTAGACAATAATACGTTTAGGGAAATTGCTATGTTTTCTTACATAATGGTTTTAAGGTTTCCGACAGTTTTTCAACGTTAGGGTAGCAAATAGTCTGTAATGTTGTCACCTAGTTATCAGTGCAATATTTAGTTATATTATTATTATATTTATAGAAATAATAGTACATAATATATTAATATACTAGCTTAGCTCAATTATTTAATGAATCAGTTTATAACGTTCTACGCCGTCTTCTGATTTCTAGTCTCCATTTATCTCGGCCGTTTCAAGGTTTTCTTCAACTCCCCTCTCCCTTAAATGTTTATCGATTCCTTCACTCCAAATTAATCTCGGTCTACCTTGCTTTCTTCTTCCATACGGTGTCTAGTTCAATACTTTCTTTGGTATTCTGTGTTCATCCATTCTTTGGACGTCGAGTTCATACCATCTTAGTTGATTTATTCTGATGTCCTCTATTATATAGTGCTTGACAACCATAATTTCTCGTATTCTTTCGTTTCTAACTTTGTTTAATCTTGATTTTCCAGCCCCTCTTCTCCAGAAGTCCATTTCTGTTGCTTTTAATGCTTTTAGAAGTTTTCCTTTCAGTGGCCCTACCTCACTTCCATATGTAACAATGCTTTTTATAATGCTGTTATAGATTTTATGTTTGTTTTCTTTGGAGATTGTTTTGTCTTACATTACACTGTTTATTTGCCTAATAGCTTGTCTTCCCTGGTTATTTCTATGTTTAATTTCTTCGTCTAATTTGCCATCGTTGGTTATTTGCATGCCTAAATACGTGTCTTTGTGACAGTGATTTATTTCTCGCTGTATTTCTTCCAAGATTATATTTTGTTGAATTCCCCCAATACACATGTATTCAGTTTTCTTGATATTTACTTCTAACCCCCATAGTTCATATTCTTTGATTTACGGGTCATAGATTCGAGGTCTTCATAGTCTTGGGCCATCACTATCTGG